AAAAGAGTCTTTGAATTGTCTGTACAGTCTTGAGTTCACGGAAATTTCACACAGAGTTCACTGATGAGTTGACTGATGAGTAGAGGATCACAGGAAAGTGGTAAGTTTTCCTGTACCGGTCTCTACACCAGGAGTAGCCTGATTTTTTTGAGTAGTCTGAGTTTCATTGTGTTGGCGTCAGCCACACAGACACAAGCGAGTTGTATGTGTATGGATCTTGTGTGTGTGTCTGTCCATGAGGCCGTGAGGCGTCGAAGCCGACATCATTCGCGCCTTTTGTAAGAAGGTGCTGATGCGGACTAACATAAGCTTCCTGAGGATGTCTTCTAAGAGGTAGACTGCCTGATAAGTTTATAATCATCACTATAGATGATTAACTGGTGAGTTAGTCCATGTCTGAGGAGTTGTCTGGGTTTTCACGAGAGAGTTTGACTGCGTAAGCTCTCTGCTAGTACACACGTACCGAGTTGACTGTTATGAGTTGTCTGTGGGTTGGCATCGTCCGATGATACCCAAGAGTCGTCCGAGTACGAGCTACGTACGAATACTCGCAGTAACCGGCGAATATAGAAGACTACGGTCCGTGTTTCTCGAAAACTCTGCGTTCTCGAAGCTTCTAGGCCCTTCGAGAAGGGATATATACGTCTAGGAATTAATTAGAGTTGTCTAATTGGCGAAAATGAGTTGGCACGAGAGACCTCGAGTCATCTAATTATTCGGTAGGGAGAAAAATGTTAGGCTGTCGATAGAGTACCTTAGACCAAGTCAGAACAGTTACATAAAGATTCAAACATTTATTAATCCATATTTAATTAATAAATAATGGACTACTCAATTGATACAACTTTTATAAAAATTATAATATTAAACAAAATAACTTTTTTTTTCGTAAGATCTATGAAGTCTTTGGAATAATAATATTTTTAAAGAAAGGCTGACTGAGCTACATGATTACATTACTACGTATGATAAATGTATTTAACTCTATAATACTTAATGAAGTCTATATGATTTTTAAGTAATTATTGAGAAATAATTAGTGTAGTTAAATTTCGACTATCGGTAACATAATCAGTCAGAGTCGTGAAATAAACAAAAATACCATAGTAATTGAATACAACATTTTTAATTGTATTATTAATTTTTAAGACCTCACATAATCAAAGTATTCAAGATATTAACGTTCTTATTATATTTTTGCATTGTCAATAATTTAAATTTATAACGAGTAAGTAATTTTTTAGTTCAATCAGAACTTATAATGAAAAGATAAAAATGTCGAATATTTTGATTATCTAATTCTTAAAAATGAATAATTTAATTTCGACACTAATTGTCGGTTCTCTAAACCTTGTCATCTTGTAATCGAAGCGTGTTTTGGGCTGAAGCAATAGCTCGCCCTAGGTATAGGTTAAATCGATATTGCTTACGGCGATATGTGTACGAGTCGCATTTACGATTCGTTAAATATTTAGAATAATGTTTTTTAAGTACTGCCACCTTATTGGTTTCTAATAATGGACGCTCTGATTTTCCTTCGATTTGCTTCACGCATCGATTGGCTAAATCTTTTTAACCCCAGATTTCAAAAGCCATTGTTCCAATAAATTTGGCTGCATCTAGTTTATTCATAGCTGTCTCGTAAACACTTTCATCAATCCATATTTTTCTTCCTAAATAGATATTGTCACCTCGTACAGTGCCGACTGCAATATTGTCTACTTCTTCAACTGGAGGGATGTTATTTGTATCGCTCAAAACTGATCTTGATGGTCCTGGTGTTGGGTCACTGATAACTTCTAGTGAATCTTGCTCTGAAGTTACAGGCAGTGGATTGATATTCTCAATCTAGAAAAATCGTACAAATTAGAAGTTATTCCACCAAAATTTTCATTAACAAATCAATCTTTCCATATTCACAGTAGACTGAATCATCATGTTCTACATACTTGTATTTGACTATTATTTTTGATAGTACTAGGACACTCATACCAATTTTAGAAAAGTTGTTGCCTTTATTATGAGAAATATTACTATAGAAATTGAGATTAATAAAGTACTAAGAAAATAGTATTACAAGATATTACTTACACTATCAGAATTCATATGTCCTTCAACTAGAGCGCATTTATGAGCGTTCACGATATCTTCCGCCCTTTGCCTTTCATCGATTGCTTTATGGAGTGGTCCTTGAGAATCCTCGGAATCATCTACTATGTCAGAATCGTTGATTTTCGGATCAGGAACTCTTTTTTAATCAACTATTTCCTGAACATTAGCCTTGGTCTCTAAGAAGCGAAAAGTCGAAAATAATTAGAATGCGAGTGTACGAGAAAGATATTATTCATAATACAAAAATTACTGGTATTAAAAGAAATTTTATTTGACATTTTTGAATAAAAAAGAAATTCATTCATAAATTTATTTTCAAAAGACATGATAATTTCAATTAAAATGATAAATTTATATTGTATTTATCATAGTCTGTATTATTTTCATATTTATATACAAATGAATTTTACAGGTTATTCAATTATGACCACTTTTATGACCACTCATTAAACAATAGTATTTTTATAATTTTGTAGAATGTACATCTCATTTGAATAAAAAACAAAGTAGAAAAAAGAACAAACCGTTTTAATAAATGATTTTTAACAAGATTTGAACTCAGCAATACGTTTCATATGGACATATTTCTAATTACAACATTTGATTATTCAGACAAAGCATTAACAAAGATAAAAAATAATGACGCCATCTTACCTCCAGTTACCAATATTACACAGGACTTTATGTATGAATCTTCTCGTAACAAATAGACATCTTTGTTCGATGGTTTTTCCATGTAACTTTTAAAATCAATCAAATTTTTCGTGTTCACAATCTTTTTTTCGTTACTTTTCAATAATTTGATGTAAGCGAACTTCATTGTCACAAACAAATAATGATAAATCCACCGAAAACAAGTTATTCATTCGATTATTGCACCAACAAACTTGAAATATTTCACACCACTCACTCGCACGTGCCAGTGTTTAGGCGGTTATGACTTGACTCTCCCTATTGAAGAAAGAGAAATTGTGAAGTGGGGAGGAAACTACAGGGATGTACCTATACATATTGGTTATGGCGTAGGAAATGTATCGTTATCATCGACTAGCTTAACTGTAGCCATGTGACTATACGATTTCAAATAGTATTAGTAAATGACCAATAATTTATATAATTATAAAAACAGATAATTAATAATAGCGGCAATGACAACAAATAACTACAATTACTTATTTTTCATTAATACATATCCACATATCCAGTTGATATAATTTCATTAAATATATATATATATATATATGTATATAGAAAGTATACTCACGAGATACATAATTAATATAAGTGTATATAAACTATTATTTAAAATAAGTTATATTAATACTTTGTACTAAGTTAGGAAAAACTATGGTGTATTTTAATTAATAGATAAACTATATGGAAATGAATAACGTTATTACTTGGAGTACCGATACATTTTAAAACGTGGAATAATACCAATAAGTTTAATGTACTCATTGTAAATTTTCAATTTTCTATACTACAATTAATTCAAAAATTCAAACAAACCATTCTTATATGATATTGTTGAGATTCACTTCTTTTACCAGTCCCTATGACTGCCTCAAATTTTTCCTCCTGACTCACTGTGATAAGTGCAATCTATGAAGAATAATTAAGATTGCTACCATGATAACAATTTGATTTTATTTGAATATTTTTGTATTTGAAATTTCTAAAAATCTGAATTTTCGAACTAGATACACTAATAAAAGAAGTTGTACAATCATTACAAGCTTTAGAATGCTGTTACTGAAATAACTATCATTCGAAAAAACAGTGTTTACCCACATACATTTCTTAAAGAGACTATAGTAACATTGATAGAAGATTGTAATGTACAAGTTATTCTATGGATAATTTAGAATTATATATGCATTCACAGAATTTTTCTGCAAGAAACACTATATCTCGGACATAATATTACTTTTTTTTGTCAGATGGCCTCCTCCACCCCATTTAGCCATCCCTTACCCAATCATAAGTCTTGTAATCCAAGTATAATGAAAATCATACTGATTACCAAAATAGGTTTAGTATTTATTACACAATTTTGATAAACAAACAATCTATGACAGCATGATTTCGCCAATCTATCGTAATTTGAAGTTTCAATCGTTAAACAAACCACTTTTTTGTGGTATGGGTACTTTTACAACTTTTTTGTCTGAAGTGTTTATTGTATAAAAACAGAATGTAAACGTGTTTACTGTTCGTTGGCCATCTTTCATACTTATGATTTAAATCATCAATTTTAACCCACTTTGAAGATATACTTTCTTTTATCATACTGTAGAAATGACCTTGCGATATAGACTTACCTTCATAGAATATAGCGCTCTTTACTGTGTAAATGTTATGACAAATATTGACTTTTTCTGAAGAAATAGCTTTAAGAAAGCCTTTAGTATACTTTTTATCGACTTTTTCGCCATCAGGAAATATATTTAAAGAAATAACAACAAACGGCCCAGTAGATGACATTGTAATTTTACGTTGACATTCAGTTTCCTGACTACATTTTGGACAAGTACTTTTTTCTTTTCGCCAATGAGAATAGGCGTCTCTGAGTAAACTGTTGATATTAGTTGTACTTGAGGGAATTGGGAACGATAATCGGATAGTTTCTTCTGCGTACGAATTGACATAATTGCAAGTATTGCATCGATCCACATATTGCAAATGATTCGTAAATAATTGTTTTATTTCTCAATATTTTTTACATAGCAAATCAAAAAATAATAGAGGGTCTGTTTCTCCATCAGTATTAAAATGACTTCCAATTTCTTCTAACAGGATAGAAGTACTCAGGTCACTGTGATTATTTGTATGCATAAACAATAATTGTATGCATAAACAATAATTTAAAGGAGACTTAGAGTTACTAGTCAAATCTCTAAAAAAATTTGATGTCAAAAGACAATTAGTAATTGATTGCATAGCAGCATTCGCAAAACTACTTCTTCCATTATAGTTTTCTAATACAGTTATCGTAATTTCTCGATTGTACGACTTACGTTCTGAAAGATTATGACTATTATCAGGAATATCTGATTCATTCACAGCCCATTGTAAATCAAGCACTTTCATTAAGCGTCTTTCGTTAAGTGCAATTTCTAGTAATTCGGGTTTATATTTTACTCGTAAACGATTATATTTACTTATAGCTAAAGAACTAGCTTTAACTTGGAATGGATCGAAATTTATTAAATGAAGACCTTTCAATGTAGTTATTCGTGAAAGTGCTACATAAGTTTGTCCACTTGTAAATACACGATTTCCCACATCGATGACCGCATTTGTTAAACTCAATCCTTGACTTTTGTGAATAGTTATACCATAACTTAAACATAGTGGAAACTGTTTTCGGATAACATAAGCATTATTCATTACTTGAAATTTAGCACTTATTCGTTCAATAGTGTACTCTTTTTTGTTAGCTAATTGTATAGTTATAGAATCAATTTGGTCATTTTGAGTTGATTCTGAAATTGACATAATTTTTCCGATCGTACCATTCACAAGCCCTAAGGTCACGTCAATGTTACGTCTGATCATAATCTTTGCTCCTAACTTAACTTTAATTTTTTTAGCTAACCCAGCAGTCCTTGTATCATCATTTTCTAATTTACTCAAAATTTTTTCTACTTTTTTCATCAATTGTGTTGGGCTATCTATGACATCGTGAGCTACAAGTATAATTTCTTTAGTTGGAATTTGTTCTAACATTGTAGAATTAAGTATATCACATTGACAGCATGTAGGTAACAAACAGACAGTATCCTCTGGTAATTTATTAATATAATCAGATAATTCTTTTATTCTTTCAACAATACTTGAATTCACATGGGTGATAACTTTTTTCCGTTGTTCTAATAATTTAACATCATAAGAAGTGGTAGCACCGACTCGCAGTCGAGCGAGCAAATCATTATACTCAGAATCTGTTTTTTGTCTCATATTTAATATTAATTCATCGTAACTGAACAAATTTTTCCAAAGATTAGAATTGCCTAATGAGCCGATAAATTTTTCAATTTTTTTAGACGATAGATCTACGAAAGCTGGATCTTCTTGAACTGGTGGAAGTTGGAGCAAATCTCCAAAAACAAGAATGTGTATTTTACCGAACCAACCGTCTTCTTGATCTACCGTATTGAAAATTTCCATCAAACGTAAATGAATGTAAAGTAAAACAACACTTAATACCATTGATATTTCATCAATAATAATCAAAATGACGTCGTGAAACTCTGAGCGTAATACTTTCAATGCGTTATCAGACAATTGATAGTACTGACAGGCGTAACCATGTTCAACTGGTAGTTGAAAGGCCTTATATATTGTAATACCATCGATATTAAATGCTGCGATTCCTGTAGGGGCAGTAACTATAATTTTTTTTTTTAATTCATTTTGTACCCAACATCTTTTCACATCAATTGAAAAACTTTTGCCTGTACCACCAGCACCACTTACGTATAATCGTAAGATTGTATTTTCCGATTGGACAGAATGTTCAACTTTCTCAAACACTCGCAATAGATCTTTATTTAATGCAGAAATCATATTTAATAACTCAATGTCTGTGACGTTTCGTTTATTACATTTTGGATCCAATGACATTTCGGCTGTTGAATTTAATGTATTTGTAATTTATTCACTTTTATCAGCATTATGCATTTTATTTTAGCATTTTTGATGATATTTTACAGCTTCTTCTAATTGATCTAAGTTTGCAACAAATGCTTCAGTATAAGTATTAAAATCATCTTTCAATTCATCAATATCTCTCCATGGTTTATAAAGTAAAAGTAATGCACAATAATATTTCTCAGGTTCAGTTTCCACATTGAATTTGAAATGATTAATAAGACAACCTCTTGATCTTCTCTTCAAATATAAAGATTCGCTAATTTTATAAATCTCGACATTCTCATCTTTAACAGGTTTTTCTTTTACAATATCGTACCAAGTAGCAAAATTAAATAGGGATATATGATCTAGTTCATTAAGCCTATTCGGATAATAATCATCAATAAGAGAAGCACAAAATATGTTCTCTGAATTTGGATCTAATGTTTTTATAATATTATACTTTTTTACCATTCTATTTTTGGTCATTGATACATTTAACCATTTGATTGTAGTATTTGAATCACTACCATACAGTGGAAGACCCAGAAGCGTGTCAGCAGCTTCAAGGCTACCAATTTCCCGGTGATTCAAAGTACGAAAAGCAATATTCCATAATTTTTGAGTCAAAGTTTTTATAGAATTAATATCATCTAATATTTCAAATGAATTGGCAGATTCTGATTCACATGAGTACTTAGTACAATACTGAGTCAATATGGTAGAAGATTCTCCAATAAATTGTATATCCATGTTTCCTTCCCTAGCACATAAAACAACAGGATTGTAATCATTGATATATGTTTCATTTGATTTACGCATAAGATCGTAGAGACGGCTTTTTGATTTCAAATTTCTTCTACCTGCAATAGACTCAGCTGTATCGCGTAAAACAAAATGCTCAGTTGTAGGTCGAGGAAATCCAAACCTACAAACTGATTTTGTATTTTGTATATTTGTATTTTTTCCCAATATAGGAGCATTTTTTACCCATAATATGCAATGAAAATGTTGGATCCTTCCACCTTGATATTCACGACGCCAGAAGTAATGATCTATTTCACCTATAGGGTTATCTTGTGATAGCAGAAATTGAAGCATCGCTTGGAATTTATTTTCAATAAATCAAGATACAGAAACTGGGTCTGATGCTATAATTTCATTATTTGACAATTTATCGGAGTGTGGACTGTTAATATCACGAACATATTGTATAAGATCACTCCAATTATATTCTGCTGGAGACAAAGTAACGAACCAAGTTGCTGGTCCATAATAAAATATCATACATCGTAAATTTGTTTCTTGGGTGACTCCAAAACTGCGGAGTATTTCGTAAACGCTCAAAAATCGTTGTCAATTTCCCTTCTAAATTACCGTTGTCTAAATTTTGCAAATATTCGTTGACAGTATAACGTTTTTTCGGATTTATTGTGTGAAGTAAATGATATATACCACTATTAATCTGACGTATGTAAGTTTTACTAAGTAAATAAAAAATATACTGTACATTTAGACGAAATCGTGCATCAACAGACATCAAACGTACTTTTGCATATTCATTGTCACTAAGAGGAAAAACTCGGCCTTCTTCATGCTCTCCGTTTTTTCCCAAAGGATGGAGATCGGGAAAACATAATAAATCTAATGTTGCAAGTCAGTTATCTAGAGGATCTTCACGAATTTTTTTCATCTGATACAAGGTTATTGAATCTTCATTTAATCTTTGATTATACATAGGATATATCGTATATTCTTCTTCAACTTTATCAAGATCTGTAACTTGAGTTAAAAACGGAGACTTTATAATCTCTTCGTCTTCCTGAAGGTGTTGTACATCATTATGTTTTGAAGATTTTGAACTTGTAGACGATGATTTCTGTATTTCATCATTTATAGTTATTTGAGAATCCGACTTTTCTATCAGATATTCCACAGAAGATAAATGATCAAATAAGTATTCAGAACATTTAAGTAGTTTTATTTCTGAATATAGCTGATTATGACTTTTGATCCAATTTAGTGCTTCAAAATCTTTCTTTATATTTACTAAACTTTGCCATATTTTCTTATCATTAGAAGGAAGTCCATTGACTAAAATATGTAATTCATGATTTTTATTTATTGGCTCTGTTGCCGAACAAATTTTATTCAAAGTCTCTTCTAATGGTAAAGGCAAATGTAATGTAGTTCCCTTTAGTTTTTGTATCTTCATTCGATTTGGTAATGATTTCTTCGAGACAGTCCCATTCTTTGTACTACTTGAAATGCTTTTGCTCTTTGGATTAGGAGTTTTTCATAGGTATTAAGATCAACCATTTCATTTGGAATACTTCCTACTTCCAAATGATTCATTATACAAGTAGGACATTTATTATTACGAATTTTGCCGAGACAATATTTACACATAAAATGAGAGTTAATTTTTGAATTAGTATCATTCAAATATTTTAAAAAACTCTTATATAATGCATTATCAAAGATTGGTTTGTATAATTTATTAATATCCTGAATATCTCTTCCATAACATAATTTCTGACAACAAGCGCATACGATACGAGGTGTATCTACTGATCTTTTTGTTAGAGCAATAAAAGCATTATTGTAATTATCATAAATTTGAGTTTCATTCAAACAAATAGTGTCTTCCTTTTGTAAATAAACACATCCTTTTTCCAGCATATTTTCATGAACTTTTTTTAAAATCTTATAATCAACATTTTCAAAAGCTTGATCTAATTCAACTAAATGGTCCACAATTAGTCTCATTCGATAAATCAATGATTTTATAGCTCTCACGGCTGGATAATGGGGTGATAATATCCAAACAATAATGAATAAACAGTCACAAGATTGACTTGATGTATAACAACTTTCTAAATGTCCGAGTTTGCCAAAAGAGTGTTTCACAAAAAGTTGATCAAGGATTTCGCGAACATTGCGAAAAGTGAGGGTTTTCATTTTTTCTAAAAAAGTAACATACTTCGTTATTATATTAATAATGTATCGTTCACGATTTTTAATAAATTCATCGTAATTTTTTATTGTGTCACTGCGAAACAAATGATTATCTTTGGTAATATAGAACGTTTTACAATTATAATCACATTTCCACCGAATTTTATTATCACTACATTTTTCAATTTTTAAAATATTACGGGCCTGACATTTCTGATTTATAACGATTGGTTCGTTATTTACAAAAAAGTATGCTGTATTATAAAAATAAGCTTCTGTTGTAGGAGTGTGTAGTGATCTGCCGCATAAATTTTTTAATTGTGCGCTGATTCCTTTAGAAGCGCGATAAATAGTATAATAATAATTGGATTTTTCTCTAATCTGATTGATACAATTTTTAATTTGATTAATATAAATGTTTCGTTGAGCAAAACACCAGTTAATGATTCGTTCAGATAATAGGCGATTTTCTATAGGATCATTAAATGAAAATGTATCATCATCTAAAACTTTTAATAATTTTGTGATACAAGTTTCTTTATTAAGTGTTATTCGAATTCCTTTTGATTGTAGTACGGATTCGTTTTTGCTGTTCAATGTGTTGGTCATTTTAACATCTTTTGTAATAATCGACGATGTTGGAACAACCAGTTGTGATTTATTTACATCACAAATGGGAGAAATTATTGAATAGGAGTTGATACTTGAGTTTTTTAACTGATCATTCTTTGTCAATGGTTTATCAACGCCACTGTCGTACTTGAAGCGTTTTACCTGTTTTTGAGATTCACTATTTTCATTTTGATCATGTTTATTACTTGTTATTAATGATAATTTATCATTATCATTCAATAATTTTACTGAATCATCAATAGCTAATTTTCGATCAACATCATCATCATACTCGAAGCGTTTTACTTGTTTTGGAGATACACCGTTTTCATTAAATGAATGAATCAATGAATCTTTACGAATTGTTCTCATTGAAAAATTATCTAGATCATCATCTGAACTCCTCTTTAAGTTCCTGGAATTCATGTTATTACGCATGAGCACATCAGCACGAATTTTTCTCTTAAGAAAATCATATAAATGATTATCCGAATTTCTATCCAAATTTCCAACAGTGGATTATCGTTTGCCTTCATTTATAATTTCTCTTGCGTTATGATCAGGTATTATCTGTTCACATACTTTAGATAATCCATCGTCCTGTTTCTTAATGATTCGAGAATTCACGTCATTACGCTTAAATGAATCTTTACGAATTGTACTCATTAAAAAATTATCTAGACGATCATCTGAAGTCTTATTTGAGTTTCCAACGCTCGATAATTTTTGTTTTTCATTTATAGTTTCTATTGCATTATTATTAGGCATGATCCATTTAGATACTTGACACAGTTGAGAATTTATATAAATGCGTTTGAATTCTTTTTGAATTGCATGATCGTTGGTTTTAATTTTTTTTCTATATAGTCGCATGCTAAGTGCTTTTTTTTTGCTTTCATTAACTTTATCTAAAGTTAATAATTGTAATTTTTTGTACTGCTTATCAACTGCTGGGAAATGTGATATTGTTCTTGATTCGAATATCTCTAGTAAATTTTTTCTCATTAATGCATGATCGTAGATTATATTTTCTGGTTTTTGATGAAATTTGAGTGATGTTGCAAAAGCAATAGCAAATACGCCACAATCAATCGAATTAATTGATAATTTTAACACCAAAACTCAGTTCTTTCAATGCAAGTAATGCCGATCTTAATAGGCAAACGAGAGTTTTGGATAATGTTCTGAAGTATTTAAAAAAAATAGACGAAATCTACAAAAAATATTCAAATAGTAATATTTCTATGTTTATCAATACTTGTTAGAGATACATTAAATATAAAGTGGTCAGAAAATATTGCAATATTTGGTTGTGTAATTGAGTAAAACTTTCGGATTATATTATTGATTAATCCAGTAACTAGACTTCAGTTGTTGAGTTTAATAAGCATTTAAATCAAATGTTATCTTTGAAATACATT